AGAAATAAGTTTATTATTTAAAATATCACGATTGGTCACTTTTCGGTTAAATTTACGCGTATGATTCTCTCTGATCTTTCTAAAATCTTTGTTCTGCGATTCTGTAGCTTCTTCCGATAGTGCTCCTATTGGCATAATATCTAAGTGCTTTATGATGTCACCTCCATGTATAAGAAGCTTATGCATGCTGGATGGTATGTAATACCAACCGTATAAACTGACGAACAACTCAGCGGTTTCCCATCCACATTGAGTGAGGTTTTGGTGGTTTATTTGCTCACCGGAAGCCATAGCCCATAATAATACAGACAACCTAGCGATTAGATCTTGACTAACTCCAGTGATGTTGGATGTTTTTTCTGGATCTGCAAAAAATCTACCCGCAGTATTTCCGTCGTTTGTTGTTCCAGCCCCTTGCTGCACAATATCCTATTAGCAATCTAGTTTCATCGCTTCTCGTTTCTCCATAATTGCTTTTTTATTTCCTCTTGCTGTCCAAGTTTTAAATTCTAGTCTATAAGCAATGTGTACTATAGTCTCCATAGCCCGTATCCATGCGTGCAATGAAGATAGGCCATACTTGTACATATCGATATTTAAAGATCAGTTTTAATTTTGTTAAATTATTCATGACAGTTGGTTTTGCTTTGCACTTAGATATTATGCCAATAGGAGCACTATCGGAAGAAGCTGCAGAATCGCGGAATAAAGATTTTAGAAAGATCAGAGAGAATCATACGCGTAAAAGACAATGCCGGAAATTGGCGTCTTTTTTTTTTCGCGCGGCCATCGACCAAACTTTGTTTTTTGATTACAAAATAGTGTAATAAACCAAACTTACTATGACATGTATACCTCTAAACTCAGTCTGAACTGAGTTACGAGCATTAGAAGTTTGATGATTTTCATACTAGATTTGCATTTTGCGCGCAAAGTTCTCTAACAAATTGCAACAAAATAGTGAGATTGTATGTGTAAACAAACAATACCATCCATTAAAGGCTCCAGACATCAATATGGAGCAGAATCAGCGCAATAAAAAAATAGCGCAATATTTTGTTGCAATTTCTTACAAAACTTGCGCACAAAAAGCAAATCTAGTATGAAAATCATCAAACTTCTAATGCTCGTAACTCAGTTCAGACTGAGTTTAGAGGTATACATGTCATAGTAAGTTTGGTTTATTACACTATTTTGTAATCAAAAAACAAAGTTTGGTCGATGGCCGCGCGAAAAAAAAAAGACGCCACTTTCCATACAAAATCTGGCATTGCCATTTAATCGAAAAGTGACCAATCGTGATATTTTAAATAATAAACTTATTTCTTCGGATCATTTTTTGTTAACAATAAGACCAAAAATGAGTGCGAGTCCAAAATATCCTCTTCCTAATGAAGTTAAAAATTTACTAGCTTCAAATAATGATGAAACTTTTGAGTTTATAGATGTTGATGATGATGTTGAATAATAAAAGATTAAAATCGGAATGATTTTTAGCTTCTTTTTATTTTAGAAAATCAATAAATTATCATTAAGTTGCCTTATATCCATATATTTTGTATACTTTTTCGTACCTTAGAAAATATCACTTATATCCTAAACGGGGACGCACTGGGACAAAGTTGTTACTGTATTAGCTTCTATTAGTACAACTCTTTAAAACCTATAAGTAGTCATCTTTAACAAATTTTAACATTTTGAATAAGAGCCTCGTGAAGGAAACGTTTCATACAAATAAAACACAAAACATGTAATATATCAAAAACTACGCATTTCTCAGAAAAATAGAACTTAAAAAAAACGTTTTTTATAACATTCTACACATGATACCATCGAAAAAAGTGAGTAAATCGCTAATTCCATTTTTATCGTTTCTTGAACCAGTGTGGGGCGGAAAGCTAATATGTAATAGAAAGAGAGGTCAATAAGTCAAAATGACTAGCATGCAACTACTCACGTATAAATTGTAATCACGCACTTATTACAATACATACATGATTAGTCCGTATGCGTACTGGCGATGTATATTTTGGAGGAAGATCACTACAAAGTATACGCGAGCAGTACGCAGCGTATGCGTACTGGTCGTGTATAGTTTGGAGGAGCTTAGTAAAAAAAGTCATATCCAAACTATACTCGATTAGTTTCACACCCTTGCGTTCTGGCTATGTATAGAATGGAAAGACGCTTCATCGATACTCCTATTACAGCACTACACTGTGACAGCTAATAGTGCTGTCAATGGTACGTGTTTTTGAAAGGTCATAGATAATGTAATGTATAGGACTAGCTTTTGCCCGCGGCCTATTTTGTGCCGCGGCACACGTTATAAAGCAAGGCTGCTCAAGTCCAGGTCCACAGCCACTGCGGGGCGTTTGCCCGGGCCCATTCTTTGGAGGGCCGCTCTCGGTACTTCTCTGATCAGCAGCGGCATGGAGCAAACCGTAACCCACTACGGCGGTCCGGGGGTCCTGTTGTTTGTACCAGGGCTACGAGGAGAAACATCTATAAAAAAATCTGGAGGAGCTGATTGGGGGTTCCTTCCAGTTCCCTCTAGCACAGAGCACGTAATAGCCCTCTAGCTTGAGGCGGAGCTGCGGACGAGGCAGAACAATAACTAGCGGCTCCGTTTCTTTGGGCTCTCTGGTGGACACCGTCGGGTTTTAGTGGGTAGGAGGCTTCACCTTTAGTGAGCAGGCGGGGAGAGTCCCACATAACCCACTGGCCGTCCCCATCGACCAATGGGTATGCGCAAAGCATTTCCCGACGTTAAAAAAAAAGGCCGGCGGGCCACAGTTCCCTTCACTTTCACCATGGTGTTTGGTAGTCCATAAATGTAGTGGAGTGGGTCCTAGACTAGATGTATTTTAAAATAAAAATCGCTTAATACACGAAATTAAACAAACAAATTATTTGACTGCTTTATTGCTTAGGTAAAACATTTGGTTACATCTGAAAACAAATAGAAATGTTGGTGTACGTTGCATCATTTTTATATTGCGATATTTTATGTTTTTAACGGAGTAAAGGCTTTTGATGACATTTGAGTAAGTTAAAGTGTCGTCGATTTTAAATCGGTTTGGAAGCCCACAATACAAATCAAAGCTTGTTTTGCTTTGCTTTCGTTTACAATCATGTCATATCTTATTTATTTTACCTAATATCGTTACAGGCAGTTGATTGTTAATACTATGGGCAATAATTTTAATAAACAAAAGCTTAACATATTCCAAAAATGATGTTCTATTTGATTAATGTACATCATAATTTATTTTTATTTCACTTCTATACAAGTAAAGGAAATAAAAAAAAACTTCTTCACAAATGTACACTCAAGACATAATCTACTATGCATTTTGGGGAATGTCTTATTGCATTTTGAACTACGTACAACAATAAACAATGTAGCTACTTTAAAGACGATTAAAGGATTGAAATAATGCACAAGGTGTAGGAAAACTTCCGCCACCTTTTCATGGCACATAATTATGTTTTTTCTATAGTCATTAAGAGAATTAACAAAAGTGGTGTTGGTAAACCCCAAAATATACAGTATTTTTGTACTAAATAAGAAGATCTTAAACCGTAGTAGATATTTCTAATTAGATACATACTTTATGTACAGTATTATACTAAAATGTAACAATAATATACACGAAACTAACCGATAAATCAGTCAATTAGTAAAATACATTCAATATTCAATCAAACGTCTTAACATACGAACAATCATACAAGGCTAACATTGTAGTCAAATCAGTTTCTAAAATACTTCGTTAATACAAATAATGTATAAAATTATTTTTGAAAACGAATATTATATCAGTTTATAAAGACTGTCCATTTTTACGCAACTTCGCGACACAAAGGAGGGTTATAAGTGGTTGATATAGGACTATTTTGTAACAATTGACAACAGTTTTATGAACTCTACAATGTCATTACTACCATAAAATACATTACCCCATAACTCCGCTCATTCTTATATTACTTAACAAATAATAAATTTAAATCATCCAAACATAAAATGTTGCACAGAAATGTATTTGAAATTTTTATTTATTTCCGTATGTTTTCAATGTTTTCAATAATAATTAAATCCGGATATAAGGAATATCTTTGACGCTTGGTTCCACAATAAAAACTAAACAGAATCTGTAAAATAACAATAAAAAAGAATCATCGAAATTCATTTTTCTCAACAATAACAAAAGTAACTAGCAACTTTTTGCTGTACATTGCTATCTGATGTGCATCATTGTATAGGACATTAGTAGAATCTTGGACCAACGTAAATATAAATACTTTTACTGATTTCAATAAAAACTTGAGATAAAACATTTTTAAGAGTTTTAACAAAGGCTTTGACGAGTGGGTGACGAATCAAGCCCATTAAAAACTGAATATCTAGCGTATCAACACAAAGAAAGCAAGATAACAGTCTACAGTGATCATCATGAGACCATACAATTATCACAACATTAAGTATAAGATATACAGTCATAATAAGACACACAAAAAATAATTTTAAAACAATAATTAAACCTATTTACATTGTAGTTTTTCTTTTAAAAGAACGCTAGTTTTTACATAAATATTTTTACTAATGTGGGTAGTTTAAACGATTTTTATATGCAACATTTGAAAGATGAGGTGTGTCGCAGTACTGTCCAAGTCTTCTAGGTACACTGACGTAAATAACTATAAAGTTGTGGAACGATTGTTTTGAGATAAATTTATCATGACTGATTTTAAAGTAAGTGATAGAAAAAGTGGATTCCGTAACAAGTGGGTTAATGTGCCACATTCAAATAGTTGTTTTAAGTTTTATAAGTGATGATAGGATGAAACTTGTCTTCTGGTATTCTTCGATTGAGGTTGAGACAAGAACTTAAAAAATTAGGCAATGGAAATAAAAATACATTCACTAACGTTTGGTAATATGAAATACTCGAGTTGCGGGAAATGAAAATGAATTATTATTTTTAAATATTTGACACCAGTTATAAAACGACGATCTTCTTTGACCGACGAAGTATGGATTTAGTTTGGAATCGTATCAAAACTGTCATTCTATAAATATGTAGTACAACAGTATTATTTAAAACACAAGTAGTCTTCATTTCATAAATAACAATGATAATATTCCTAGATAGCATATTTTGTGTGGATATTCACATAGGGTGGGGTGGTCGACAGTGAGCCAGAGGTACTGAATGAACCTGCATATTTTATTGGTATTTATACTGACACACTGCTCTACGAGTAGAAGAGATTCACTATTATTTTGTTATACTATTACATAATATTATATTTCCTAATAGGTATATTTTACTTAAGAAATTTACCCGATTTTTATATAATTTATTATTGAATTGCGTTGCATTTATAAATATCTTAATTAACGAGATGAACACAGAATTTAGGCTGACATTGCTAACAACTCTAATACAATTTTAGATGTGCAGATCGAATTAAAGTAATAATATTTTGTAAGATGATTACAAATTATGTCTATAATTTTATGTTTTAGCTTGTGTAATACATAAAATATCATATAAAATGATGATATAATAGTTGATTTTATTATTAGTATGGTGCTAACTTTTACAGAAACCTAGTAATGGAACAAGCACCTCCTACCATTAACTTAGACAGTGCCAAAGCATGATTGTATTACTTGTGCCATAATATAAGAGAATAGGCCTAGCGTATTGGACGAAAATATAAAATACCTTCTCGCCCTTAAAGTTTTTTTTTATCCATGGAACATTTGCAGTAAATGGCAAATTGAAATTAGTAAACAATAGACTTCGATTGCACTTCTATTCACATCCTCAAAAAGTATGAAGGAAAGGATACAATCATTTCCAATAAGTGAACAATATATAGTTCATTTCATTCAAGTTCGACTTATAGGTTATTATCCATTCAGAATGCCCTAATACTGAGATTACAAGAGTTGTATAGCTGTTAACGTGAAATTGTGAACTCTGTCAGTTTATAATTTAATGCTTTAGATTGTAAACTAACAGTGGGTTAGGTTAGGTTAGATTGTAATTTAACTACGTCAGATTATAATCTGACGGAATTCTCAATTTTACGGTGACATAGCCATCAAGTAACAAAATTTTGGGAGTAAAAAAATAAACAGAATTAATATTAAATGTAACAGCAACGGTTCAGGAAGTTAGTTCACAATATAGTCCAACAGAGCGCCCGCTCTGATACTCGGTGACGCTATGATCCTCCGTGATGCAGTCAAAAAAATGATTGGTATTAAGTCGATTAGTTTGCGGCAGTTTACATCACGTTTGTAGTTGCAGATTAAACCAACATAATTCCAAGTATCAACATCTCGAAAAGAGTATTTATTCTACTCAAGCCCTAAAAACAAAATTTAGATTTTCAGTTGCTGCAAAATTGATGAATAGTCAATCGAGGTTTTGAAACAGTGACGAAAATAAAAGGCAGATTGCTAATCGGCAGCTCATAAAAAGTATCACCGCTGCTGCGGTGTGAAGTAAGTACCTACTCTATTACCTGCGCTCAGCGGCGTCGCCTGCGCGCGCGCGCCTTCCTGCGTCATATGTGCACCGGCACGTGAAGTAACAGGTCATCGCGGCGCGGGAATTCCAGCGAGCACATCTCGCACTTGAAGGGCCCGGCAGCGGCGGGCGCGGGCGGCGACGAGGGCGGCGGCGAGGGCGACGGCGCGGGCGAGGGCACAGGCGAGGGCACCGGCGAGGGCACAGGCGAGCGCGGGCGGATGGCGCGCAAGTCGTCGGCCGGATGCCGCGGCGGCCGGCGCTGGCGGACCTGCTGTGAACGCAACGTTAAAGTTTCCATTCTGAGCTGCTACGTAACGTAACGAGTCATTAAAAAAAACGCATACAACTTGATCCAAAGCAGTCTTCAACCATTCACAGATCCCTGGGCTATCACAGATCAAGGGGGTGTTTTTGCTGTCAATTTTTTTTGTTTTTGGAAATTGCAATAGATCAGACGATATGGAAAGAGGCGACGGCAAAGAGGGCGTCTTTGCCGTCGCCTCTTTCCATATCGTTTGCTCTATTCTTCTACTCTTTCCATATCGTCTGCTCCGAGCCACCTATCATGTACACCCAGCATATAGCAAGTCACAACACTTGTGTACTTCACCTGCTTAGTCCTAAGCCGGGGGTCCTCTATGTGGATTATCTTGGGCCGCGGCGGCGACGTCGACTATGAGCCACTTACCGTGTACACTTAGCACTTGCAAGCCACAATACGTCAGCTTCGTGCTTAGTCTTGGGCCGCCTTGTGAGGTGAGGGCGTAGGCGACTGTGCCACCTATCGTGTACACTTAGCATATAGCCACAGCATGCACGTCACCTGCTTGGTCCGCGGCCGGGGGTCCTCGGTGTGGATCATCTTGGGCCGCGGCGGCGGCGCGCGGCGCTTGCGGCGGCGGGGCGGCGAGGGCGGCGGCGAGGGCGAGGGCGCGGGCGAGGCGCGCGGCGAGGGCGACGAGCGCGCCGGGGACTCGGAGCCGCGCTCCCATTCGCGAGGTGGCGTGGACTCTTCGGTCTTAATTTTCCGTCTCCGCTTGTACTTCCGTGGGCCAGTCTGCTTGAGTGGTATCGGAAGGTTAATTTGGATAGAAAAATGGAAACATTCGTCGCGAATGGACTAAGTTGCAACTTGCAATGTAATGAAAAAATTCTAATAATATTATACAAAGCAATATTTAACATCCGCATTGCAGTAGCATAGCTATCGGACCACTAGACGCTGCCGTAAACCTCGTACTGAAGTAGCCAAAAATTTACCCGCCTTCGTAATGTAAATAAAATAGGGTTGTAACAGTACATGTCAACTTATAAAGGAATACAGGAAAATCCCTACAAGTTTCTACTTCTGTTTTGATATCAGTCAACAAGATTGTCTTTTATTTTAGCACATTAATAAAAACTATTTACGTAATATCTACCAACCTGTGGTTGCCGCTTGAGCGCCGTGTTGGCGTCGCAGTGTTGTATGAGGTGCTGCACCAAGTCCGCACTGGAATGTAGGTTCCGCCCGCACACCACGCAGCAATATGAAGGGGCACCTAAACATATACAATTTATTGACTTTATCTTACCGTATTTAAAACCGTATTAGTAAACTGCAGTCAACCCTGGTAAACAATCACAGCTTTCAATCTATGCATCTGGTGACGATCTTTTCAAAGTGGTACCACAGAATAATTAAGTGGTACCTACAGAATAGCAGCGTCATGTTCTGTAGAGCATGGACACACGCTGAGTAGGTGACATGCCATGCCATGCCATCTGATATGTCTTAAACTGTGTTTGAACCAATAAATTATTTTTCTTTATTTTTTTTTTTCTTCATAAGTAGCTTACGCTATTGTAATTGCTGCAATAGCAATACCGTATTAGTCTAAAATAAGCCGCGCGACGTTTTACACCTTGCATGTATAGCACTAAAGTTCAAATTGGCACGCAGCTTATTTCCTACTAAAAGCGATATTCCTATGGCACTGACCGTTGGAACGGCGGTCAAGCGCGGAGTATTGATACACACACACACTATAGTCATATTAGTCTAAAATTAGCTGCATGTCGTTTTACACCTAAAACGTACAAACTTAAAGTTCAAATTGGCACGCAGTTTATTTACATCTAAAGCTATATTCCTACGTCACTGACCGTTGGAGCGGCGGTCAAGCGCGGAGTATTGATACACACACACACACACTATAATCATATTAGTCTAAAATTAGCTGCATGTCGTTTTACACTAAAAAAATATAGCATTAAAGTTCAAATTGGCACGCAGTTTATTTACTACTAAAGCTATAGTCTGGTCCGGGAGCACGTAGAATTTTGTCCAATGACGCCAAGCTACCCATCCTTATCGCTCGCGCGTAATTATATTGCTGTCGCGACTGTGCGACGGGCGCCCGCAGTGAGTGTGCGAGCGTGACAGCAACATAAATACGCGCGAGCGATAAGGATGGGTAGCTTGGGGTCATTGGACAAAATTCTACGTGCTCCCGGACCAGACTATACAGTGTGTCCGGGCTTGTAGTGATCAAACTTTAATGGCGTAATCTATAGACAATTTTATCGATGAAAATACTTCAAATTTGGGGCTTGACCCATTTGTCGCAAAATTAGGAGGATTTAAGTTTTTAATTTTTAGTTTTCACCTCTTCCTTCAAAAACAAGTGAAAACGTGGGTAACTTAACATTAATAAGCGAATATTTGATATCATGCGATAGTCAATAAAATTATCTATTAGTACAAGTAGAAAACGGATACAAGTTTCATACATTTTATGGAAGTAAGAATAGATTGAATTAGAAAAAGACATGATTTTTTTCACTTCTTTTTCAGTTATTTTCCAATACAAGAAAAACCAGGTCGTTAAGGTATATTTTATTTGCATTGTATTATTAGTATTTGAGCTATTCTACAAAACGAATGTAAATTTATCAGTCTACGTCTATTAGTGTTGACGTAATTATTGAACAAAGATACCCCTTCCCAGCCGGTTCCATAGCGCGTCGGAATAGGCTGTGTGATTCTTTTAGGCAGTGCAATTTCGCATGTTAGCAGCGCTATGGAACCGGCTGGGAAGGGGTATCTTTGTTCAACAATTACGTCGAAACTAATAGACATAGACTAATAAATNGTCACGTGACCAAAATACCGTGCTACCATTGGTCAATCAACTTTTAGAGGGTTTTGAAAGAAACGGACGGCGTTTTAGCGGAGTTTGTAACACAAACCTAATTTTAAGTGCTAGTTTAGTAGTCTTTTAGTGTATTTTGATCGAAAATGATTGAACAGTATGATGAAAAAATTGCAGTAGCATCATTTAGAGATATAAACAGAAATTAGTTGCAGGAGCATTTTAGCGGGTTTTGAAACTAGACGACTCAGTTATTCTCAATTTTCGTTTCAGCCAAGGCAGTCATTTTCTTCATGTAAAAAATATAATACTGTAAAACGGTATAGCATTACATTTTATGTGATTTTATAATGGAGGGAAATGACTCTTTCAACTTTTAACTATTTGTGAGTCAAGCCCTATTAAATTTTCAATTAATGTGCCTAGTTAAACTTTCNGCTGCATGCCGTTTTACACTCAAAAAATATAGCATTAAAGTTCAAATTGGCACGCAGTTTATTTACTACTAAAGCTATAGTCTGGTCCGGGAGCACGTAGAATTTTGTCCAATGACGCCAAGCTACCCATCCTTATCGCTCGCGCGTAATTATATTGCTGTCGCGACTGTGCGACGGGCGCCCGCAGTGAGTGTGCGAGCGTGACAGCAACATAATTACGCGCGAGCGATAGGGATGGGTAGCTTGGGGTCATTGGACAAAATTCTACGTGCTCCCGGACCAGACTATATATTCCTACGTCACTGACCGTTGGAGCGGCGGTCGGGCGCGGAGTGGTGCGAGCGCACGTGCTCGCGCAACACTACGCGCTGGTTGAACGCGCGCGGGCACACGGCGCACGCGTACGGCTTCTCGCCTGGGGAATAACGACCTTAATTAGTTGAAATAGGTGCTATTTTGCAACAAATGTGAATGAAAGGATAAGAGGTTTTTAATGATGTTATGATTATGATCTTATTTAGTTTTAATAGGTTCTGTTTTGCAATAAAAAATAGTTTCATCGGCAGTAGAGACAATTTTTAGATGAATGGATATTGCTCACTGAGTTTTTAATTACTACAAACTACGGCTTTACTTAGTTGTAAAGTCGACAGCACATAAGATTTTGTTAAGATATTTACAACTCATTGAGCATTATTTTCAATTCAACCAAAACTGATTGGCAGAGGCTTGAAAACAGAAGTTGTTTGAAAACATGAACAAATTGTAGGTATGCAATTGAGCTGAACTGACAGCGGCCGGATCGACGATGCACCACCTGGCGGGATAAATTCGGGAACCTTCCTAAAGCCGCGTATCGCCTCGGGCCGAACGGCTGCCTCGGCGACGCAATTTGCCTCGCAAGGAGTCCTGCCTCAGGTTGAGGCAGCGTCTCCATTTGAGCAGCCACGGGTCGAGGCGGCCGCTCGACCCGAGGCCCTCTAGTGGAGATCCGGCTTTACAAAATGCCAACATAACAACAAAGAGTACAGATAATAAGGTGCAACTGGGACTTCTTGGCGGGAATCTGAAGCGTCATGTAAGCGGTTTTGTTTTATTTCCTCAAATTCGTGTTTGGGCGACTATTAGTGTGTAATAATGGTAGATTATTAACCATTAAGTGTTCGTGAACGTGCATGAGTGTGGGCAAGTGAAGCAAAACAGTGCATCGTGATTCTTCTGGTTCTCTCAAGTTGTCCATAGGATGTCTCAGTAAAGCACCACAACTTTACTGAGACTCAAAGGGTGGGAAGGGGTATCATCTATCATCCTTCACTACTTTACTTGATCTCATTTTGTAATTCGTATCACATAAATACTTGAAAATGGCACAAATCAAGTCGACCTCGACGTGTATTGCCAACATCATCAAAAAAGAAGAAGAAGGTGCAACTGACCTGTATGTATACGCTCGTGCTTCCTCAGCGTGCCGCCGTCAGCGAACGCTTTCCAGCAGAAGCGGCACGCGTACGGCCGCTCGCCCGTGTGGATCCGAATGTGAATTTGCTGCGAGCTCCGGGAACCGAACACTTTACCTACAAACAATAGACCACTTAGAAAGAAAGAAAGAAAGACATTTATTTGGTTCCAACTTAAAATATAACACACAGAATCAGACAACAAAAACAAGTACAAGTTAGAACCAAAATTGGCCACCGCTCAGCATGTGTCATGCTCTGGAGTGGTAAATAAAACCCAGAACACGACGCTGTTATTCTGCGGTGACCATTAGATTTAGAAAAATATTTGTGACCTCAGATGAATGAGAAAGCATATGTTTTGAGGAGGCTGTATCTGTATATTTCTGTCAAATATGTTGTTGAAATAGGAGAACAACACTTACCACATTCTCTACATGGGAATTGTCTTGAACTACTTGAAGACACGTTATTTCGACCTCGAGACTGCTTTTTTAATCTGTAACAATATTTCTTGGATTAACAGTTTTCAAATCAATCATATCATAATCATCTTGTTAGATTTCGACGAAAGATAGATGTTTTAAACATCAACGGCTAGGGCAGGCCTTCGTCACTCGCACGCGTGAAGGAGCAATAGCGATCACTGTGTGCATAGATCGCCGGGACCAATGACAGGACGCGTTGATGTGAACTCATTGCTACAAATTCATACACGACATCTGATCGCCATCGCGCACGCAGGCAGCACGCGTTGGTTTGGTAGAACCCAGATAGAGGGGCGCCATAAATGGATTTGTTACATAGTAACTTACTAACTTATTAGTAATCTGTGGTTGGGGGTTATTTATAGTACAACTAGCTTTCCGCCCGCGGCTTCGGCCGCGTGGAATTTTGTCTGTCACAGAAAAACTTTATCGCGCGCGTCCGTTTCAAAAACCGGGATAAAAACTATCCTACGTCCTTTCCCGGGACTCAAACTATCTCTATGCCAAATTTCATCAAAATCGGTTCAGTGGTTTAGGCGTGAAAGAGAGACAGACAGAGTTACTTTCACATTTATAATCTACTATATAAAAATAAGTCGGGTTTTCCTCCCTGACGCTATAACTCCAGAACGCACGTACCGATTTCCACGGTTTTGTATTCGTTGGAAAGGTCTCGGGCTCCGTGAGGTTTATAGCAAAGAAAATTCGGGAAAAGGGGGTAAAACAGGATCCACACGTACGAAGTCGCGGGCGGCCGCTAGTATTAGTATAGATTTCTTTTCTTGACGTCAATGAGCAGCTGAATCTGACCTGGGAGTGGTGTGGTGGCGCTCGGCGTGGCCCTCCGCGTGTGCCAGGAGTTGCAGCGCGTCAGTACAGCTTTCGCCACACACGTCACACGTGTGCTCGCCCCACGCGCTACTCGTGCTGTCGTGGCGTTTGTAGCTACACAAATGATAATGTTTAGATATTTTGGAAAATTTAAACAATTTCCGATCCGAATCCGTGTGAAAATACGAATCTAGGAAACTACTACAGAAATTGAACGAAGGAAATTTGCTCTAGCGCGTAAAATGCAACATACAAGCTCTAGAACTACTCCGGACCGAGTGCCAGCGCTAAACCTTGCGGATTTTCGCCCCGGTCTTCCATCGCGGGTATATGTGTACGACTATTTATTGGACACCCGCAACATTAGCTTGCCTATCTTGGCGTCACGCGTGCGCGCGCTTGCGCGAGTTTTAAAGCAGGCCCTTATAGGATTGGATTCTGAACGTGTAATGCGAAACCGCTCTAAGCAATCAAAAGACGTTTTCAACATCGACTTAGGCTGATTGCTTGATTTGCGCCATCTAACTTTAACTTTATTTATCGTCAAAAATCTGTCAAATTCCATACAAAACAGCGGTTATTGAAGTTACTATGTAAGTAAGTTGGTGTAACTCAGGCTTAAGCCCGTTTTCTCCATCAATCCCTAATTTTTAAGTGACCCCTTTGCAAACAAAATTCCTGTTATGTGTTACCATAGGGGTCACTTAAAAATTAGGGATTGATGGTGAAAACTCGTATTAGACTTTTAGATCCGTATCACCCACAGTATCACTGCTCCGCCTGCTTTAGGCCTCAGCCTCGAATTTAGCGGGCACCGGGGCGGCGGCGGTAGCGGCGCTTGAGCGGCAGGATCTTATGCGTTAAATCAAATAGACCGGTTGTCGAAAACAGCGGCGCGGGAGCGGGCATCGAGCGGGCAGCGCACTCCTTTTGCCCACAATAAATCGAGCGTTAGGAATAAATTTTAATCGAAATAAAATTGTCGCCGTTATTCAGACATTTCGTTTGCGAATAAAAACAAATATCTCGACAACACAACCCCGAACACAACACTTCGCCGCTAAAGCGCCGCGCGAGCTGCCCGCTTGTTTCGAGAACGGGTCTGCGNACATTTTTTAACATAGTAACTAAATAAGACGCAATATAAAAATTTCATCCGTTAAAAGCCCTCAAGTTATTTCTGAACTTTAGTTTAGTAAAAGATTTAGAATCTCAAATCGCTTATTTTAAAAATAAAACCATAAATAGAAAACGAATAGAGGTAACTTTGGGAATATATTCTATCGAGTCAACTTCATTAAATCGTGTTTCCATCCGTTAATAGCCCTAGAAAATATCCTCAACTATGCCCAATAAAAATCTTAGCCTTTAATTTTACTGTTTAGTGCCTCAAAAATGAAAAATGAAAACCTCATTTTCGCCATTTTCTCTGCTACCCGGCCTTAACCTTTGCAGTTAACTGTGTGTACGTATTTTTCCATGAACGAAGCAAACTATCCACGTGTGCGAATTTTCAAACCGCGCGCTGGGAATAAAAATAATTAAATATGAAAAAATAAATGTTATCTTTACGTAAATCAATTATGAGAAAGTTACTGATTTTGAGTCCCTCCTAAAATTTTGGATACCGATAGCAAAATCACCGTGTGTAATATTCCTGCCTGATATCCTGAATATTCAAACTAGCTAATAGTTTCGTGTTTTTTTAAAATAATATAATGAAATTTAAACGGGTAGGTACATACTTACACACAAAAATATAATACTCGAACATACTTACGAGTAGGATTTAATTTTTTTTAAATAAAACAAAATTATTCTTGGAAGTCAAATATTAACGGATAGTTGTCTATTAGACATTCGACATCCAATTAGGAACTTGATCTAGATTATCTGCTTAGGCCTATTTCTAGAAACGCCTTTCAAAGCTCAATCTACTGTCAATACACAGAATCATGAATTTGTAAGTATGATCTCCAAAGTTCAAAAGCTTTTAGTTTCCAACAAAACTTGGCTCATTGTTTACCAAGTCTTTGAACTCAAGGATTAGTTAGTAAGATGAATGTTATTAGGATTAGTCTCTAAGCTTCTCGATTTTCATTTTGAAATTGGTTTAAGGTATTTTTGCAATCTTAATAATATAATTTGAGCCATTATCTTTATAGTTTACAGAGAAATATCCTTTTCGAAAGTGTAACATCTTTAGTATAAAAAAAATCCAATTTCCTCGTAGAGTTAATGAAAGTTACAGATACCTTTGATAAGATGAGGAAAATCATTAGAAAAATACACATCAGTTTTCGTCTGTCAGTAAAACGACAATGTGAGAGCAATTCTGAATTATTCTCAATTTTCGTTTCAGCCAAGGCAGTCATTTTCTTCATGTAAAAAATATAATACTGTAAAACGGTATAGCATACATTTTATGTGATTTTATAATAGAGAGAAATTACACTTTCAACTTTTAATTATTTGTGAATCAAGCCCTATTAAGGCGATTAGTGTCCTCAATCCGCGCCAAATGGGCATTTTGTAAAGACTACTCCTCTTTTACTGCTGGACAGAAATAGTTGAAAAAAATATATGTTATACAACATTTCAAGGACTACATTTGTGACGTTTGAATTTTCGCTACGTCTCTTTGTTTTGGATTAAAAAAATAAATACGGGACATCGATTTTTTACTTAAATTCCCTACTCCTCCAAAACGGCTATGTTAATTTAAAAGATTTTTGCACGAATAGATTGGGAATTCTTTAATCTTTAAATGACACGTTGCGTTTTTCAATCGAACATTACTTTCATTCATAAATTTTACTTTTGATAAATTCCGAACGTTTTGCTGTTGAGGGGGCCTTCGCGGGGTGCGGGCGGCAGTCGGCCGCTGGCCTTCAGACGGGGAGGTTGTGTCACTCGCTGCAAACTGACATTAGCGATCAAAATGAATTTTTTCTTTGGCTAAGTTGCACCACCTGACGTGACCTAACTTTGACACCGTCTTATTACAAAAAAATGGTTTAGAACGGTATTAAATCAGGTACTACCAAGTTCTAGAACTAAAGTTAGTACTAGTATCAAATCGTAGTCTTATTACAAAACATGGTTTATTCGAAGATCAGTTAGTCCGAGGATTGCTCTATGATTACACAGATAAAAAATAAATAAATAATGAATACCATTCATTCATTCAATTCATTCTGTGGAACGTTCCGATTCTCGAAATATGTATTTTTATTTCATATTTTAAAAAATGTTTATAATACACAGGTATGTCGTGAATTTATTTAAATTTAGTTTTAAAATTCTTTATTTCTTTCTTATATCATAAGTATTAGCACAATTAACAGTTTTAATGCTGTTTTTTATTGTTGAAGTTCTTTTATATTTTTCACAAATTTGCAGCGTGAAATGAAGAATGTTCGAATGGCGCGTAAATGATGGCTGCTATCAAATTATTTTGGCTAGATTAACAACTTCATTGATACCTACCTAAATAAGTGCAGTTGGGTTCGGTGTTGTTTTTCAATTCTTGTAAGTTATTTAAATAAAAACAATATGGCAGAACAGAAGAAAAAAAGGGGTGAAAATTGGAGTTCTGAAGAAAAAGTAGGTAACATTTTGGAAATACTTTTTATAATTTTAACCATCTATTACTATTTCTACTAATGTAAATATTTGGTTATTATAGGAAATATTGCGTCAACTAATTGGTCAATCTGCGCATATAATAGAAGACAAATCTACAAAAACTTCAGTAAATATTCAAAAGATAAAGGAGTGGAAGAACATTTCAAATAAGTAAGTTAAGAATAAGTTTTGTTACAATGATAGTATGAATTTTATAACAAACATTCACTTATTATTATTTTAGATTCAATGAAATAACTGGCAAGTTAAGGTCATGTGCAGAAATGAAATTAGCTTGGAAGAGGATGAAATTGTCTGCCAAATTAAATTTATCTTCGCACAGAAGGGAACAAACTAAAACCGGAGGTGGCCCAAAACCATCATCACCCTCTCCAGAGGACTTAGAAATAATGGCTATTGCTCCTCACGACTTCGTCATTGAATTAAATGACTATGATAGTGACGCAGTGGTAAGTGATTTAAAAAATAACTGTAATATCATAAAAATACTCTGATAAATCTTGATGATAATATCATGTAAAAAACAAAACATGTAATTTTTATGATTTAGATTCCAGTTACCAAACCTACTGCTACCGCAACTACTGCAGAGATATTAATTGACACTCAATCTGGTTCTGGTATTGAAAGGAATGAAAACAGCATAATATTCATAAATAATTCAGAACACACCATTGAAGAGGTTCAAGGTACAAGAATATGAATTAACTACAGGGTATTAATAAAATTGATAATCTTAATTTTGCTAAATGTTTTGAACTTTATTAATTAATTTCAGTTAACAAACCTAAAAAACTTGCTCAGAAGACAGACATTGATATTACTAATGACACAAAGGCTAAAACTAAAAAGCAAAAAGACTTAAAAAATAAGTAAGTGCATCTACTTTCGATATAATTAAACATTTTTTGTAATACCTAGGTATTTTATATACATTTTATACTTAACTTGCAGATATGATGGAATGCGCCAGTCTATTGTAGACAGCAATGTACATTTTAAAGAAAGACACTTGGAAATGATGAAAGTTGAACATGAGTATAATATTAAAATAGCAAAGTTAAAAATAAAAAAACTTGAATTGGAAATAGATTTATTAGAAAGCAAGAGAAATACCAATTAAGTTTTAATCTTAAAATTAACATCATTTTTTCTTATTCTGTTGATTGTTTTAAAGATTTTATTATAATAAATATTTTCTATAACTTAAGTTTGTACATGAATTTTTAATTAGTATCTTCCCTTAGCCCTTTTGAAACTTGGTAACACATTAGTCTACAAATGAATTACGAACTTTATACAACAATACTGTTCTGAACATGACTGTTCCCAACCAGTAGTGAAACATGTAGCAGAAGTTTTCTCACAAATATCACATTGTCTGCAATATTAATAGAACAAGAGGAGGCTTTATAGAAATTCAAAAGTATAGCTGGTTTCCCACAGTAATTTTTGCAATAGACAAGCCTCTCAATTGAGCCATTGTGCGTAATTTGTGGTTTATCTTCCTACTCCAAATAACCCAAAAAGCGAGCTGCCTGTCTAGGCCGCTGTAAGCTTCCGGCAGTGAAGCTGGTGATTGGAGAATTTGAGCCCGTTAATGCACTACTGTTGATGAGGTTAAGGCTGATGCATTGTCTGTTCCATATTTTATGTCATCACTGGCAACACACAGTGGTCAAAACTTTCGTCTTGATGAGACACTGCGGTATTTGGGACGTGAATGTTCGCGAAGCTTCCAGAATGCTGCCCAGCCAATTCAGGTCCATATTAATTTTGAAAACCATTGTTGAGAGGCAATATCGTCCATGAATCGGAGGTGGGTGATGTACTAGCTGTTGATACTTATTCCAAATCCGGTCCAGTCCAGAAGCTTGTGATGAATTATGTGAGACAATATAGCACATTTATTCATTAAAATACATTTATTATGTATTTCAATTAAAATGTGTTTCTATAAATTGTCTCCTTCTAATACTTCCTCTTACAGTATTTCGAATAGCTGCCTGCACCACTGGCTCTTGCGATGACGTTTGTTCTTGGGGATCTTCCTCCTCAGGAAACACGTCTTCTCTCATGTCAATCGCGAGGTTGTGCAGGACAGCACAAGCAACAATAGTTTTTTTGGCAGTTTCTATATCACCAAACATACCTCTAAGAAGGCAACGAAAACGTTGCTTCCAGAGTCCAAAACACCTCTCCACAGTATTCCTTGTGCGGATGTGGCAGCGGTTATAATTTTCTTCCGCCTGCGTTGAGGGATTTAGCAAAGGAGTAAATAAATAAGATGTACAAGGATACCCACTGTCGCCCAGTAATAACCCAGAAAACGCACCAGCCTCAAACCTTTCTTTTAGTCTGCATTCCCTAAAAATCCGTGAATCATGCACACTGCCACGCCATCTGGTAACAATGTCCATGATTTTCAGGTCAGCATCACATACCACCTGCAATACAATAACATATTCATAATAAGGTAATCATTGTCAGTTAGAAAGAGGTTATGTTAATTTCAGTGAACAATATGTAAAAATTACTGTTTGTTTAAATAGATAAATAATAATCAGAGTTTATTTTTACGATAATTATATTAAAAGACTAAATATGCTGAAATTGCAAAGTGTTATCATATTGTTAGGAGTAACACAGCTTTTTTTAACAGCAAAAGCATCATAAAGTGAATATTAATATTTTTCAAAACATATTACGGCCAATAATAATTAATGATGAAATCTATTCTTAGGTTATATTGTTCTATAGAGGTTGTTATAAAATTTTGGCAACTTGCAATTGTAATGTAAACATTAGCTTGCAATGTCACACTGTTTACAAACGAGGAAAAGGTCTATGTATAAAGGGAAATGATGGGAAAAATTGTAGTAGTAATATTAATTACCTGTACATTAATTGAAGGGTATCCTTTCCTATTGATGTACAATTGACCCCCATCGGCGCTCACTTTTTTTATTCTTATATGAGTGCAATCTATTGCACCTATTACCATAGGAAAGCCAGCTATGCTTCGGAATTTCCTCATACTCTCTTCTTGATCTATCAATGTTGCAGGCATTTTGATAAATCTTCGGGAAATTCTTGAGAGGCATTCTGCCACCTCTTTGCATGTCTTGCTGATAACTGGTTGTGATACACCATGCAAATCAGCTGTATCATCTTGAATCTATGAACAAAATCACAAGACAAGACTGTAATTTAAGTTTCTCGACTAAAATATCTATCAATATTAAAGTTTGAATAGCACTTACTTCGTGGCGAGCCCAGTTGCGTAAGGCGCAAACCCAGGGTTGCCAACTCTACGTATTTTTACGTAGATCTACGTATTTTAAGCCTTCCTTGCAAACCTACGAACTTTAGTCCCAGAATCTACGTATTTTCTATCAAATTTGCAAAATAGGCTGAATTGATATCGTTTCCTTTACTTTTGCGATAAAGTTAATAATAACATCGCGCCAAAACATTACTCATGTATGTCAAAAGGGTTATTAGTCCGATCACGGTTATTTGGCATGTGGCAAAAGTCGGAACTAATGTTATTTTGACATTTCCCCATAGAAAAAATGCTGTACAGCGCCCCCCTGTAAATGTCACTGAAGAGCCTTGATCTGATATGAAATTTGAAATCTGACGTGACTTGACTGTGTATGTGTAAACCGTCAAACGGTCAAAGTGAATCTTCACTATAAAAACATTTCTGAAAATGATACACAATTAAATAAAAGTGTACTTTACTACTTTTAGGGTAATATAAATTGTCGTTTTATTACTTTTACCTACCCCTACTCTCTTCATTTCACTCAGAAAAAAAAGTACGTAGATCTACGTATTTTCTTTAAGGAAAATGTACCATTTCTACGTAATTTTCTAATCTGTCCTACGACTTTTTCAAAATCCGAGTTGGCAACACTGCGCAAACCACCTGCAGCTCAGGGCTTAAGGGGCAGCCTCGAGGATCGTGTGCCAAATCCTCTCGTAACAAATCCAACAATTTTTGCCCAAAACTTTTCGAAAAACGGTATTTACTTTTGAAGTCAGGTTCTTCTAGTAAAAACGGATTTGCTCGGCGACGGTATCGTATGGTTTGCCGAGACGGTTCAATAGAATCCATGTCCTCAAAATCCATCAGATCCATGTCATTTATATCCATTTTAGATCAAAATTGGAAACGAATTAACCACAAATTAACCAATTCACAAAAGCGATTTGACATTTGACATAAGATAAAGACGTCAAAGTCAAATGTTCACAGATTACTAAAATTTGGTCCAAGCTTAAACTAGGGGTCTTGCGGTTTTATCTTTAGTACCACACATAGTTCCAGAATTAGTGCTAAAACTTGTTTTGTAATAAGAATTTTTCTAGTCCATAGTTAGGACCAGGTTTAAAACCAGTTTTAAACTTAGTCTACGTTTTGTAATAAGACGGTCATAGTCACTAACATTAGAATAATTATTATTACGTAGGTATATGGTAGCAATCCCGTAAATAATAATTATTCGTGTACCTAGTTTCCGAAAGAGCATGTAGGTAGGTATTCGTGGTATTACGGAGGTCACCAAAAATGTGGATTAATTCCATAGAAAAGAACAAAAGAAGGTAACTCATTACTGCATGCATTGGTAAAAGGAAAAAGCTCATTTTTCGCTTTGACTGTCCATAGACAAGAACATTACGTCCTCTGGTATCAAAAGCCGATTTCCCGTTGCAGTCAGTCGCAGTTTCGTTTTTTTGAAGCTGGGACACATGTGACGAACTGACTGTGAATGTTATTGTGTTGTGTTTTAGTAAGATATCTTATGGCTAAGGAAGGATTGGATTGATTTTCGAAATTTTTATGTTGGAATGTCATTCCAATCATAAACTACAAAATCCATCAATGTTACAAGCTATATTACCTACTCACTCTATTGGATTTGTTGTTACTCAGGAAGAGATATGGCCACTGGCTATTATCTATTACTTTTCTATTCAAAATGTATTTCTCTGGCCAAGTATTTTTTACACTTGCGGCCGTGTTCACAAACATTACTATGAGGTCTCAAAGTGCACGTGGACGCACAAGGTGGCATACAAACCAATCACAGAGCTCTATTAAACGCTGCGTTCGATTTGCTGCTTCACTTAAGCAAGCATCGTTTGTGAATACGGGCGTTAGGTACTTTTCGACTTACCGTACTTCTTTTTTTATCAGACTTATGTTGTTGTTTTGGCAACGGCAATCTATAAAATGAGATCCCAGCCTTGCTCCGATCCGAGCTGATCGAATGCACTGTTTCTCACGGGGCTCTTGCGTATTGAATGGAAACGTAAAGGACTCGCACATGTCACTTTATACTAGGGTTGTCAAACTCACTTACATAAGAGTAGGCGCACACCATTGATTTTTCGTCGGCCGATAGTTTAGTCGGGCAGTTGATCAGTATTGGCATGTATGGGAGTGCGCACACTACGCCGATTCGATTTGGCCGATTTTTCATACAAATTAAAATCGGGCACAACTATCGGCCAACTAAATATCAACGGTGTGCGCCTACTCTAAGAGATGAACCATGAATACCATGATGAGACCATGTGACATGCAATAAATATTTGAACCATGTCTATATTGTCACGTCTGAAAATACTAATAACATTAGAAGTCTATCAACTGTTAAACAAAAAATCATCGTATACAACAATTTGACTGACTTGGCACACTCATCAATAGTAAAGTTAATTTTTTCAGCTGGATTGACATTGAAAAACTGACGTTTGACAAGGCAAGGACGACGTGATGCCTGCCAACATTGTACTTTTGTCTTTTGAAAATTTCTGTCAATTGTCAACCCTACAAAACTTATGCACTCACCTTTTTCGTGGCTCTCCATGTTATGAATAATGCCAATACTTTTTCTTTTTGTTGTTTTCAGTTAAAATTAGGCCAAAAAGCGGTTATCTACGTTTCTGAAAACTTTCTAAGCGATCGCAGCCCTCAGCCTACATCGTGTTATCGACGAGCAGGCGAAATGAGCCTCGAAGGCTTACCCTCAGCCCTCCGTTATCCTGAGAATGGAATATCTAACATTTTCCATGTAATTGCATTCGATTATTCGTAGCAAGCAGTTGAACGGTTAAATGATTTATGTTGATAATTAACATTAACGATACCTATTTGAAATGCTGTACGGAAACTGAAAATAGCACTGTTTTGAAGACTACGTCATGGTTTTGTGACAATGGAGGTGGTTCATCATCATCATCATCATCATCACCACCTATAGGACGTCCACTGTTGAACATAAGCCTCCCCAATGATTTCCAAGTTGCCCGGTTGGTTGGTAGCGACCTGCGTCCAACGCCTTCCTGCTTTACGATGTCGTCGGTCCACCTAATGGGTGGACGTCCCACGCTGCGTGTAGTTTATTATGTAGTTGGTTCCAGATGGCTATGACTAATACAAATTTTATAGTGCGGGTTTTTTGCTTGCTAAAAAATCTTCAATCTATCCCTAAGTCACTAGATGCCTTTCAAGTAATTCCTGGAAAATTTCAGAATAACAAAATTCTTGTTGGCATGGATTTCGCAGATAAAGCTCTTAGCGTGAATTTAAAATAAACTTTGAAATAAGTAACCTTGAATTAAGTAGCGATATCTTTGAAACCCGAGTATTAGTAGTAGACACTAAAATTGCATTTTAATTTACCTTATAATCTGGAATTTGGATAATCTAGATAATCATTATTGTGACCCCAGTAACCCCCGGCCATTTATATAAAACAAAGCCAATATTAGGAAGGCCTCAAGAAATATTTTTTACAAATATTTTCACGGAAAGCACCTACCAAAATTATGTAAATTGTCACCATTTCTGCCTCTCTTTCTTTCGCATTTCTAGCTTTTTCTTTTTGCTTACGTATTTGAGTGTCCGTGGAATTTATGTTTTACCAAATTGCGGTAGACCGATGCCATTTTGAACGTTTTATGTAAAGGGTAAGAAAATTTGTCTGGAAATCAAAATGTTAAAGTCTTTGTAGAGTTTATTTTGGTTTGCCTAATAGTTCTTTACTTTACAAGATCAAATAATTATAAGGGTTCTAGTTTTGAGACTCTTATTATCAAGCCTTTTAATAGGTATTATTATCTTAGATGATAATATAAATAATTAAAATATGCAGTAAATATTTATTTGAGCTAATTGTCTTTGCATAGTAGTATCGTAGTTTTGAACATGAATTACTTAGTGTGGCTATAATTCAAGTTCAAAATACGATTACTATAATTATGCATAGGTCCATATGAATAAGAAACTGAATTTGAATTAGTTTCTTCAGACGACGGTCCTAAGGTCAAATTATATTTTACCATTTAGGTAAGTATGTAAACAAAACAATAATTAATTCAGTCATGAACTTTTAGCAGATGTATTTGCTGCTATATTTTGATATAGGTACGACGTATTAAATAAATGAATAAACCATCTTGCATCTATTAATAATAAAAACAACTGTCAAAAACCTGTTTATTTCTTATTTGAATAATAAAGAGCGATGCAGACATAACAGCTAGTAGATTTTCCCATAACCCTAAAAACTAAAAGCCGCATTTCCGCAATCAGTCTCCCGTATACCTGCAATAAATATGCTGCGATAAACGTTGAAAACCCCGACGATCGTACGTCAGCAGCAGCCATCTAACTTAACGGACGACTGGACTAAATTGATTAATAAAAGTGGATCCGTCCCGTGAAAACTGGATCTAACTTAGAATTAATTTTTGAACGCTTTCGAGCATGTGCGAGGTATTAATAAACTATTTAGACGTAAATATAGCCCGTCTTTACGAGGTTCTAAATGTGACTCTTCATTTAATGAATTTTAGTAGTACTTCAAGTTTTTAGGTAAAATTGATGTAATTTTTAATGTCAATCCGATTACCTTTCGTTCGTTCGTTTCAGCGGAATGACGCCCACTCACTGCTGGACAAAGGCCTCCTCCAAGGATTTCCACAAAGACCGGTCCTGCGCCGCCCGCATCCAGGCACCTCCCGCGACCTTCACCAGATCGTCGATCCACCTAATGGGAGACCTGCCCACACCACCTCTTCAGGCTCAGGGTCGCTCGAGAACTTTTCTGCCCCAGCGGCCATCGGCTCTGCGAGCTATATGCCCCGCCCACTGCCACTTGATTTTAGCGATTCTGCGGGCTATGCCCGTCACTTTGGTTCTCCTGCGGATCTCCTCATTTCTGATTTAATCACGCCGAGGCACTCCGATTATTATCCATGGTATCCGATGGTAAATCCATTAAAAATTGCGAGACTACGAGTATTAAGTGTTCATTCAATTACCCATCCACTCCCATTCTCATTCATTTCATTACACAAAAACAATATAGGCTTTCATAAACAACTTTGTTGTTTTAAAAGGTTGTTGACATTTTTAATAATGGATAGATTAGTTTCATGTTTCGTGTTGCGTAGTATTCATTAATTTTATACAGATGAATTTAGAAGGTAAGTAGGTACTATAATTATTTACGCAGCAGGTAATATATTCTATGTCTATTACCTACCTACAGCAAACTAGTAAAAAAATTGTAAATCTGTTAGGTCGCTAGTTACTATTAGGTAATAATATTCATCCCGTGGTATAGCGAAAAAAGAGTTTTATTTTGTTACATAAACTTCCATTCAAAACTAGTCTCAAATTCGATGTGGCAGTCGCAACATGAATATATGAATTCGTATGAAGATTGCATAGTCGACGCCTCGGGCTCTTTCCACAGGCTAAAAATACGCGCCATCTCACCTACGAGGAAAAGTATTAGTATGAATGTCGTACAATAAATCTATTGTTGTTTACCTAAACAATATAAAGGTCACGAGGGCTATTCTGTACAGGTACGAGAACCTGATTGTCCTTAAATAGGTACAGGTACAACCGACCATAAGAAGGGTATGAGTACCGAAATTAATATGTTTACCGCAACCCAAATTACAAAGCCGTTTATAATAATAATAACAAATATTACAAAATGCGTTTGAAAGTAAAAGTCAATTTACCTTTATCTGCATAGATTGTTAAATATTAAAATAAAAGACTAAAAACACTGTAAAGTTTTGCTCTTATGGAGCCTTTAGGTACATGTCTCATAATCTTATTGCCCTCCAGCGCTTCAAGATCAACATTTGGCAAGTGCTGAGATGAAGCGCCGCTAAAAAATCGTTCTTAATAATTGATGTACAATCTCCACCCTTTTGTTAATAAAGACTAGCATCTATTCCAACAACAAACGCAACAAAGTCTCCAAATTTCTAAGAACGGCGCAGGTGGTCCATCAGGAAACGTCCCTTCCTTACAACGATGTGTTATTATCTACACCCACTCCAGTTCCGGATTCCAATCGGATCCATTATGTTATTATTCC